CGTCTCACTGGCAAGTAAATATACTCTCGGACGGCACGTAATTCAGCCTTGAATTGAATGATACTCAAAAAATGATAGTATCAAGGTACATTGAGCTCACCCCAATGTATGATACTTGGTCTGAAGCGAACATACTGGGGCATGGGAAGTGGCACGTGTGTTGAAATCCTGGTTATATATTGGAGAAATGCACTTAGATGTAGGATATACATACACTCTACACACTCGGATCTGGAAGCATAGGAGCTCTGGAGGAAGTCAATATGGCACGAAATTTGTCATTCACTTGCATGAGATCAAGATATAACTCAAATGCTCCTCGATTTTGAGGCAAGTAGTCTGGCATTGGGAGAATTTAATCTGGAAACAAGGCCTTGTTGTGGAATCCAATCTGAAAGGCGATGAACCTTTGGAACAATCATGTTTGAACAAACAGACACTATACCTCGATCCGGTTAATTAATCCCTCACCTCTGATGGGATGATTTAACGGTCGTGGTGATCCAAGCCATCTTTGAACCAGTGAGGGGCAAAGAGATGGGCCGAGACTTAATAAACAATGCCGTACAAGTTGAAGCGCAGGCGTGGCTGATATTTGTCTAATAGATGGCTCAATAGAATGTTTTGGGTACCATTCTCCCATATTCACAGTGTCCGAATTTTGCGGCCCAGTGGTAACTCGGCGCGAAACGAAAGTGCAACCACATTCCCGAAAAGGAAATGGTGCTGATCATCCGCGTTTGTCGAGTTTTAAATTGGTTTCAAGCCCACTCGCACAGAAAGAACTGATATTTAGCCGAATGAATAATCCGACTCAAAAGAACATACACCCTCACTTTCTCCCATGAAGATGGCTACGGTACATCCACATTTCTGACATGTGTCTGGGGTCCTACCACCCTAATGGGCCATTTCTGACCGCCAATCACGCCTGCCGAAGTTCCGGCGCGGAAATACGAAGCTGTCCAGTCCCTGTTGCCATAATATTTATGATGTGGTGCAGCTAGTTCCTAGCAAGAACCAGTGCCGCACGGGGGACAGTTGCACCGAATTTACCTGCAATTTGAACATCCACCCATGGACCACATGCGAAAAAAACAAGGCAAAGAAAAAAGGAAGACTTCGCAGAAATGATAGCCCAAGCCCGAGTCGAACGGGAGATGCCTGCAGAATCCACTGATTGTTGCCGGGCTAATAGCCGCAGGTGCGGACCACTCCGCTTTGGACCTCCAGTGGGCACTTTCTGAGTGTTGTCAAAAAACCCAAGGCAGAAGACCACAGCAGGAAAAAACAATAGCCAAGTGTCATGGTCCAAGCCCGAGTCGAACGGGCACCCCGCTTACATCTACACATCTACGCATAAGTGATGGCAGGTGCGGACCCTTCCGCCTTGGACCTCCACTAAATTCTCCCTCGAGCTTCCTTCGACCTACAGTAGTCCCAGGACTCGGAGCAGAATTTCCAAGACAACAACATCAATAAAAGGTATAATAAAAGCGTCCGCAACAAGCAGCGAAACTAGCATAAGGTAATAACAATAGTGCAAATGTCCGTTCGTGCGCGTGCACGATCTCAATCAATAGCAGGCAGCAACTCCCCACCCCGGGGCCCACCACTCCCCCTGCTCCGCTCCGACAAAACGAAAAGCACTCCAAAAGCTCCAATCCAAACCCGTGCGCACTCTCCCACCCAAAATTCAAAAAACCACCACCAAATCCCCGCCCGACAAAAGCCCTAACGGCTCCAAATCATCGTACCCAGCCCTCGTCTCGTCATACCTCCGTCTCGTCGTACGCTCATACGTTCATACACTCCCCTCCCGCGCATGCGCCGCGATCGACGCCGAGAGCGCAGCAGACGCCGACGGGGATGCAGAGGGCGGGGGCGCGCGGCGCGGCGCCGGGGCGCGGTATGTCTGTGGAGAGTGGAGTGTCAGCGGAGGCACATACACACGAGAGGAGATCAAGAGATCAAGAGAAAGAGAAAGCGAATAAAGAGGGGAGAGGGCCGAAAAAGGCAAGAGCGATAAGATAAGATGAGATGAGATGAGATAGTGGGGCGCAGGCGTATGGACGAAGGAACGTAGAGAGGGAAGGGACAAGGGAATACAGCGGGGTGAGGAGGAGAGGAGGGCGGGCAGCGTGGCGGGGACGAGTATTGAAGAGTGTGGAGGGGGTGGATGGAGCGAATGCCTCATTGCATCGCATCTCGTCTCCCACCCTCCGCGTCCACCTCACGCGCACGCGCAAGCGGAAAGGGGGAGGGGATGCGCATAGTGGGCAGCGGACGGAACGAGCGAGCAGGGCGATGTGGGCCGGGCAGGCCGGGCGTAGCACATAGGCGATAAGCCACGAGCGAGGCAGGGAACCGAGATGTCCAGATGCGATGCGGGGAGGGGATAGACCGGGGCCGGGGGGGATTGGAAGGGAAAGAGAAGGAAGGAGGGGCCAGGAACAGGAACAAGCAGCGCGGTATGCGATAAGACACCGAATCCCACCGAATCCCCGCGCGATAGCGGGGCACGGCGATGACGTGGCCGACGACGCAGTCCACTCGATGGCAGACGATGGCCTCGAGAAGGGAGCAGGGAGCAATGGCATGGATGACGTGGCACCCGCCCCACCCCGCCACTCCACACAAATGACGCCGTTACTCGGGTTGTGGCTGCCGCCGACGCGCGCGCAAAAAGAAAAAAAAAAGACAGGGAGTAGACGAGAAAAAGAGAAAGCACGCACATGCCGGCTCATAATCATCTTCGCCATCGACACGGGTGTCTGCGAGTCGTATATCGATGGATCTAGAGTACCCAATCAGCTCCTCCAACAGATTAGCAGAGCAAAAGAGACGTACGCGAAGCCTCGACCATAGCCCTCTGCGTCCGAGTATTCGAGGTAGAAGGGTGGACGAACCCGACGCCGCGCCCGCCGCGGTAGACGTGCCGCCCGCGCATGACAGGCGGGGGCGGGGGGTGCAGCGTTACCGGAAGAGACTCGGCGATGGTCGTCGGGAGGGTCTCCCATGAGATGAATCCGAGGCCGAGGTTGCAGGAGAACCACGAGTTGGTGCTGCTGGAAGAGGGCTTGCTGCTCTTCTCTAGATCAGCGTTCGAGGCGGGTTTCTCAACAGGTACAGCGATGCCGCCCTTGGGTGCCCGTAAGCGACGTGAAAACGAGGACAGCATGCCCCGGACGAGGAGGAAGACGAGGAGGGCGGCGGCGAGGGTGAGTGGCAGGTGGAGCCATGAGAGTGCTAGCCCGTTGGGGAAGGCGGCAGGGAAGGGGAGGGAGGGGTGGCCATGTACCGGGAGGATGAACATCTCTGCGAGTCCAGGGCGGCGGACGACGAGGACGAGAGGTGGGCGCAAAGAGCAAAGAGCGGCAAGCACGGACGCCTGTGGGAGTTATGTATCCGGCAGTGCAGCCGACATGATCCTGTCATTGATCGGCGTTCACAGCTGTCTGAGATCCTGCCATGCATGCCATACAGCATTCAAACAGGAAGCCCCTGCTCTCCCCGCTATTTGAGACCTTTTCGCCCATTTTTTTCGGCATTTGTTTGGGTGTTTTTCGGGAAATTTGGCCCACCGCGTCATGCGGCTCACGCACGGCGGATGATCTCCGCGTGTGCGAGCATGCTGACGCAGTCGTGTGCTCTCCACTCACGTCGTTCATTTCAGCGCCACACCGACCAGTGGCGATTCATTCATTGCTTCATCGTCCCGTCTCATTTCCCCATTCATCCCAGACTCCCCTGAACTAGCGCGCGCCTGTCTCCAATGCTCCTTGCGTTGTACCTGAGACTCGGCCTGTAGTATGGTGAACCTCAGACGGGTTCCTGAGACCCGACACACCTATCCTCCCTATGGCCGCCCACAATTCCTCCAGCGGATGTGTAGCTATTAGGAATTTGCACCGTACCGTAAGTATACGGCTACGTCCGTAAACCGTAAACATTTTTGGCCAATACGGTACCGTATACCGTATATAGCCGTAACCGTATTACGGTGCGGCTGGTTGCTATTCGCCTGCCCTGCACCCCGCCGGGTCGCTACTCGGTCGCGTGCCCAGCGCAGGCCCCCAATTCCAATTCCAATTCCAATTCAAGCAAGGTTTCATTCAATCAATCGGAGCTCAACCGAGTGGTCCACGTACTTGTTTCTCCCACTCGAATCCGGGACTGAGTATACTTCCTTTCCTTCCCTTTCCGTGCTCATCCCAGTGCAAATACCGGTGAATCCAAAGCAGACTCGGAATGAGTGAGCCGTCCGCACCTGCGCAAAACGTGACAGCCTGCAAAAATGCCAATGCAAAGCAGATTCATTGTCGCCGGGCTTGGACCGTCAAGTACTTTCGCAATCACCTTTTTGTCTCGCTGCTATTGCGCTGCTATTGTCGGAGCTGGCCGGCCCGGGAAGCCGGAGTTCAATGCAGGCAGAGCCCTCACTAGACTTCCATCCGTACCGACGACTACTTACTTTCAGACGGCTAGCCTCCTACTTCCCAGAAATGTGGGTCCAACGCGCAGTGGTGCGCACCTGCATCAGTTAGCGGAAATGCCATGGATATGCAGGACCCGCCCGTTCGACTCGGGCTTGGACCATAATTCTGTAGTTTGAACAGTTTTTTCATAGCCTGCCCTACGCTAGAGCTGGTGTCGACATTAAATTTAGTGTCTGTCGAGATGCGCAACATTTTGTTCCCGGAGCTGGCCGGCAGCCGGAATTCACACTGAGGAGATTTGTGGTTCGGCCGATTGGTCCACGCACGTATGCCTCCTTCCAGGGTTTATCTGTCCTGTGTTCTCGCGCGGCATGCCTTGTCTTTTCTTAGACTCTTACCCGATGGCGCAGTGGTCATTACATTCGGCACGGCAACTTGAACACTAGCGAACCCAACCCCAACTATCTGGCTCCGGTGCGCACTTCGCAATTAATCAAGCGCCCCCGTCCTGGCCCGAGTCTCCCCTTCAGCCGTAGGTCGCGTCTCGCCGTTGACAATATCGGTCCAAAGCGGAGTGGTCCGCACCTGCTCCACATGGCTAAAAATTCTCGAATGAAGTAAAGCAGGAGCGCCCGTTCGACTCGGGCTTGGACCATCACTGCTCTGTCTGTTGACGTCCTCCACTTTTTTGCTCGCTGCTCTACATTTCATCCCAGAGCTGTCAGAATTCAACCCAGGTATGTAAAGCGGCGTTATGTCCCGACTGTTTACTTTGAGACGTCCTCATGGCAGCTCCTGCTTCCCCGGAATGTGGGTCCGGAACCTGCATCAGTTGAAGGTACGAGCTGGGCTGATGCACGCGGGACTCACCCTCCCACCAATACCGGTCCAAAGCGGAGCGGTCCGTACCTGCGCAACATGGTCAACGCTGTTAGAAATAAAGCAGGAGCCCGTTCGACTCGGGCTTGGACCATCTTTTTACTATTTTTATTTTTATTTTTTCGTTCTTCCCCTTTTTCAGCGTCGTACACTGGCTACCTCGCTGACTCCGAAGCCCAAGCCCGATTTTTCAACTTTGTTCCGTGCAGTTCCGAATTCTCGTCCCGGTCTTCCCCGTGTTATACTCCTTCACTCAGGTATATGGAGTTACAACTTCGGCATCGATGAGATATAGGTCCAATGCGGAGTGGTCCGCACCTGCATCAGTTGAAAACGCGTCGGATAGATATGCAAGAGCCGCCCGTTAGACTGGGGCTTAGACCATAAATCATCGCAACCTGCACCGCACCCCACCGCCTGCCTGGCCTACGAGCGAAGTAGGATTCCGATTATGGCAATAAGATATTACAGCTCTGCGACGATGCCCAACCCCCAACAGTCCCCGGAGCTGAAAAAAAACTCTGGTTCAACCGAGCGGTCCATATAGGGTCTGTGTTCTCGCTGTTCTCCCGCGCGGCCTTGTATTCATCTTTTCTTAGACTCTTACCCGGCAACGATAGCGTCAATGAATCCGTCGAACCCAACCGCCGTGCTGCCGGCTGCGGCACGCGGTTCAATTAATTAAACGTGCCCCCTGGCCCAAGCCTAACATCAGGTATCGCGTCCCACCATTGACAATATCAGTTCAAAGCGGAGCGGTCGTCACCTGCGCAGCATAAAAAGAGTGCTTTATAAGTTAAGCAGGAAACGCCCGTTCGACTCGGGCTTGGACCATTCTGGCGCAGTATGAGTTCATTTTTTTCTTTTCCTTTATTTTTCTCGTCGCTGGCTGTCTTGACCTTTTGCGTAAGTTCATTGTTTTTAAAAAAGTGTGAACTCGATGTCTCTGACGCGGAGGATGCACGGAGCCGGGGCCGCGCTTGTGAATCCCAGGTTGGAACTTATCAATCGCACATGTCTAGGCTGACAGTACCACACAAATATGGGACCAAAGCGCAGTGGCGCGCACCTGCGACAATCGATTCAGCGCAATGCGAATCAGCAGTGTTTGCCCGTTCGACTCGGGCTTGGACCATCACTCTATCGTCGGCCTTTTTTGGTCGCCTGTCCAACGAACGGGGTACACCTCTTAAGATGCCCAACATTTCATTCTCGGAGCCGGAATTACAACCCAGGATAAACCGAGTGGTCCTCACCCGCTTCTCTTCCAGGGTTTATCGTGAGTTCTCGCTATTCTGGTGCGTGCGCGGCATTCCTTGTCATTTCTTAGACTCTTCCCCGGTGGCCATCCGACGTTGCTACTCCAATTCAAAGTATTGCGTCAGCACCAATATCAAAGCTGATTGAACTGATTTCAACATTGCTTTCAGCGCAGCCTAAATGGAAAGTGATTCCGGCAGTCTCAGGTTTGCTTTCAGTTCACTTCAAGTCCAACTTTCATATTCAACATTTCGAATTAGATTTCAACATATCAACATCGGGCCACCCAATATTCGGCAACTTCCGGTGTGAGTCCGCTTACGCGACGCCGCTCGAGCTTTGGAGGGTTTGAAGCGGATATTCGTCGTCATGCCGTCATACCGCCAGCTTTCCGCGCAAGCTGTAAACGTGATGCGAGCATGCTCAGGCTGCCTGGCACGTCTCCACGGTGCTCCACAGTCCCCTCAGCTTCCCTCGTTGGTTCCAACTGGAAATCTTTTCTCGCACAATGCATACGCTTCTACTGACGGCTCATTTCACTTCCCCCGATCTGGCACCTCTCTTCCGTGCTTGTGAATGTCCCGAATTCCTACCGTCCAGGCTCTTTCGCTGAAGATGAACTCAGGGTAAGTGTCTCCTGCTGGTGCCGTCGTTCCATCAATCTGTTCTCAATTACTTCGCTTCCACTCGGGCTCGAGCTCAGGGCTCGCACTCGCTGCCCAAGGGGATTCATCTCGTTCCGCTACCCTACCCCCCATCTGAATGGCATTCTTCGCCCGGGAATCCAACTGAGTGGTCCACGGACATCCACCGCTCCCTCTCTGAATTTCCGACCATCCTGCAATCTCGCACGCCCCGCATTTCTTCGGTTCCCCCATCCGATCGACCCAATTTTGCCCCCACCTCGATATCTTAATCCTCAAGTTTCATCGATATTGATCTACTCTCCTCCGAGTCGGTGCCGGTCCTGACACTAATTCGGTAACGTTCCCTCTCCACCTAGTGCTAAACTCTTGCTTGCCAGCATGACATCTTCGTGGGCCGGGGCTTCTACTAGGTATCCCGGCCGAGGGCGGAGTGGTCCGCAACTGCGCAAACTGTATTTGACGAGGGCTGCCTGAGCAGGAAGCGCCCGTTCAACTCGGGCTTGGTCCGATCCACTAAAATTGTCCGTCTTTTTCGTCGGAGCGGCTCGCATTTATATATTTCGTGCAGGAAACGAAGAAAAAAGGGACAACTACGTCGCCGAGAGTGCCAGTGTGCCGTGTTTATTTTCCCCCACTTTCTCGCGCAGCCGTAGACGGAATGATTATGTATGGGATTCCGTCCTTCCGTCTTGGACCTGACGTGATTCACTGCGTTCCCACCCCCTGTAGACACACGTAAACACACGTGCATCGACCTTATCCGATACAAGCGGTTGCTCTGCCGCTTTGCGGCCTCGCATCCCCTTCCATTGGGCGTGACTGTGAAGGTTGACATTGAGACTTATATCGGCCTGGGAATAACCGAGAAGGTTGACCGTTGGTACTCACCGTCGGATAAAAGGTGCAGATAGAATCTGTTGCTTGTTCACATATTGAAGTTTATTTAAAGGCCAGCCCAAACGTGGCAGAGGACGGCACCGCTGAGTTAGAGAGTTATGATGAAACAATCGACCCGGAGTGCCTGCAGGCATAAATAATTTAAGCGGAGGATGAAAAGGCTTCGGACGGAAGTCGGGTCGGTGAGTGACACAGCAGGGGAGTGGATTTGGGGTTCGAGTTTATTTGAGAGATCGCTGCAGAAATCCTAACGGTGGTGTGTGATGCCGAAGGCGGCAAGGGATAATTAGCGCTGGCTGTGTGAGTAATTGGCGCCTGTTAGCGCCTGCCGTGCGAGAATCCACAGTTCGGAGTGAAGTGTTTGGCGCTTAGCGCCTAGTGTGGGACGATCCACAGTTTCGGGTAGAAAAGACCATATGCAGGGCGTCAAAGGCTTCGGACAGACACCCGTTATTTTATAAAGAGAGAGATGTGTCGACATGCGGCGATCTTCGGCTACGTTCGGCTACCTCCGTCCATGTCATGGTCTACGGAACGTAGCCGAAGATCGCCGCATGTCGGATAAGGTCGACGCACGTGTGTTTACGTGTGTCTACAGGGGGTGGGAACGCAGTGATTGTTTCTCATCTGGATGATTCTTAATACCTCATGTCCGTGGCAGAATGGTATTGAACAATTTCGTGCAGACTCCAGACCCCCCGATACTTACTCGGTATCGGCCGCCGAAAAAAAACTCACGAAAGCAACGGCCTTGGTTTGTCGCCAGTTAACAACTCACAAAGAAATTACAGAAAGCCTGGGCAATGGGCTGTGTAACGAGATATTAGAAGAGATCCGGCTTCCTAAAGCCTGCGTCTCGGTTAAGCGGAAGCTGCATCAATGTGAGGATGATTATCCCGCGAGTGAATTAACCCACGGGGAGACTGACTAACATCTCTTATTGTCCCCCTCATAAAGAGGCGGGCAGGAACACCGTTCCCTCACCTGGTGTCTTCTCCTTTCCTCTCTATTAACCATCTTTCTCCTTCGCTCCATCACCCTTTTTTGCAACGCCTCTTCGACTATGTTTAACAAAGTCGCACTCTTCTTTTACACCTTGGTCACATCCAGCGTCCTCGTGGGTGAGTGCACCTTCCTCATTCTGTGCAGACGAACCTCAGACAACTCGTTCGGAATGCACAGCTCCGATCCCCGATATCGGCAACGACGTCTTTCAGCAGTGCCTCGATGCGGGAGGCGACGACTTCACGTGTGCCCAGGAAGCGGAGGCCCCCACCCACCTGCAACAAGGATCTCATCACCTCGAACATCGCAGACCTGAAGTCGATCACAAATCCAGAACATTGGTCCGGCCCGCGCATAGTTCCCAAGTTGAATTGCGACACACATTGCTAACTTGCATTTTCTTTGACTATGTTTGCAACGAACCAGGGGGGCGCCACCCTCACAGTGATTCTGGCGGCCATCGATACCGCCACCAAGGGGAACGCCGCGCGCCTTTGTCACGTCCAGCCTGCAGTACGGTCGTTAAAAAGACGGGTACAGCGATCGGGTCGCTGATCGCAGACTGGGGCGAGTCGGGCCCCGCATGAAGTCTCTCAGACTCTCTGGTCTATGTTACCTTCTACAACGGCAGCTAATCGGCATCTTCTCAACAAGTTCATCTCGCGTATTTCACGTTCCAGTCCAAGCTTACCTTGTTCAGGGAAGAATGAATGGACGGCTACGGCGATGGAAGCCGTAGGTGAGCTGTAAACTTCCTTCCACCCAGGTGGGGTTTGCCTGATGATGTAGTCGTGCAACGCGCTTGTTCGATTAGGGCTTGTAAGGGCCTTCCCTTCCGTTTCGGCCTGGCTGTTTTTTAGTGTATCGGATTTCAATTTTTTCTAGGAAATCTTCAAGGAGAAAAGCTGCATGGCCTCTGGCTTCGTTTGGCAATCGCAACCTCCTTTGATTTTCGAACTTGATCAGC